GTAATAATCAATTCTGTCGATATCTTTATTTAATAATCAATTCTGTCAATATCTTAATTTAATAATCAATTATGTCAATATCTTTATTTAACAATAAATCCCGTCAATATATTTATTTAACAATCAATTCCACCAATACGATTGATTAATAATCAATTCCTGGCGACGGCGGACGATCCACGTAGCGAGGACACGCCCCGCATCCGGACGGCGAGACAAGACGTCATCATTAATTAAGTTATTACTAATCACTAGATCGATTTATTATAATTATTATCATTTGATTATTCATCCTTTCCGGACCCGGGTTGCACGCCCCGCCCACATTCCCGCCCCGCCCACATTCCGCCGTCACTCACGGCTCCGGATCCAATCAGAACGCGGCGGGGGCGGGACGCGCGGCGGTGACGTCAGCCGGCATGGCGGCGGATCGCCGACTCACCCGGGATCCCGCGGGCGCCCGGAGCCGCCGCGTCCCGCGCGGGCTGATGACGTCGGGACCCCGCGCCGGACTCGCTTCCGTCCCGGCGGGCGGCGCGGCGGCGGCGGCTCCGGAACGAGCGCGGGTCCGGGATCCGCGGAACGGGCGCGGCCTGACGACGTCATCAGCCCGCGGCCGGCCCGTCTCGGTCCCGGCGTGCTCCGCGGCTGGGAAACGGGCGGTGTTTCCACTTCCGGGTCCTTCCGGGCGGCTTCAGTCGCGGGTTTTTACGTCATCATCCCGCGGCCGAACAGTCTCGGTCCCGGCGGGCGGCGCGGCGCCGTCGCTGGGAAACGGGAGCCGTTAACACTTCCGTGTCGGTCCTGGCGACGTCATCAGGCCGCGCGGGCGACCCGTCTCCGTCCCACAACGCACCGCGGGTCCGCGGCGCCGCGTCTCGGAAACCGGCGCCGTTCCCACTTCCGGGTCCGTCCGCGCGCGGCTTGACGACGTCATCACCCCGCGCGCCCGCTTTCTCTTCCCCTCGCGGCGGGAAGCGCCGGGCCGCGCCGGCTCCGGATAGAGCGCGGGTCCGGGATCGGCGGAACGGGCGCGGGCTGAGGACGTCATCACCCCGCGGACGGCCCGTCTCCGTCCCGGCGTTCCCCGCGGCCCCGCGGCTCCGGAACGCGCGGCGCCGTCACTTCCGGGTCCTGCGCGGCTCCGGTCGCGGGATTGACGACGTCATCACCCCGCGCCCGCTCTCCCGCTTCCTCCAGCGTAGCCCGGGCCGCCATGTTTCTTCTTCCGCGTAGCCCGGGCCGCCCCGAGCCCCGCCCTTAGCCCAGGCCGCCCCGAGCCCCGCCGTTAGCCCAGGCCGCCCCGCCCCGGAATCTGCGACAGCCTCGCTCGGGTTAAATCTCGCGTGATCTTTATAAAGCGCCTCATTTACATACAGGCCCCGCCCAGATCCCGGCCCCGCCCACCCCGGCCCGGCTGGCGGGGTAGCCTGGGTTCGCGGGGAGCATCCGGGTGCCCCGGGGCGGGAAACGTCCGGGTGTTCATGTTTTCAATGTTTCCTGAAGTTTCTTAAAATACGGTTCCGTCCGGTTCCGTCCGGTTTATTCCGGTTCAGTCCGGTTCTGTCCGGTTCAAGTTCACACCAGGCCGGTCCGGTTCAATCCAGTTCAGTCAGGTTCAGTCAGGTTCCATCCAGACGTCGCTTATCGTCCACGATCCTGCTCGATCCGGTCCAATCCAGTTCAATCCGGTTCCGTCCGGTTCATTCTGCTTCAATACAATGGAAAAAAAAATTTTCAATCCGGTTCTATCTGGTTTAATCCTGTTGAATCCAGTTCAATCGGGTCCGCTCTAATCCGTCCGGTTCCATCCGGTCGAGATAAATCAAGTCGTATCCTGTTCAATCAGGTTCAATCAGCTTCATTCCAGTTTAATCCGGTTCAGTCCGGTCCAACTCACTTCAATCCAATTAAATCAACTTCTATCCGGTTGTGGATTTCTGTGAGATCCGGTTCAATCTGGAAAAATCAAGTTCAGTCCGGTTCAGTCCTGTGCATTCTGGTTCAAATCCGATAAAAATAAATAGTTCAATCCAGTTCAATCCTGTTTATTCCAGTCCAATCCGGCTCAGTCTGGTCTCATCTCGTTCAATCCTGGTTATTTTTTGACTCAATCCGGTTCACTCCTGTTAACTCCGGTTGGATCCGGCTCAATCCAG